ATTATTAAAGAGAGAAGTAGGGTTAGAAGAAACATATACTATATCTTAGAATATGTGTTTTGAATTTATTGAATTCTAGAAATTAACTGATGAACTTCTCTTTATTTGAGTGGGTAGTTACAAGACCAAGGTTCAAATCAGACTCCTACTCATCTTATCAGTGCCTGTGACTTTGTGCAAAGTCCTATACCTCAGTTTTCTCTTGTGAAAACAAGACATTTGGTGCATAGTATGAAAACAAGACATTTGGTGCATAGTATGTGTGCCTCAAATATAGTTAGTTAGTAACTTGGCTAGATTAGTTACATATCTTGAATTTTTCCAAAAATGATCTCTACATTTTAAAAGGTTAGAACACACACACACACATACACACACACACACACACACACACACACATACACACACACACACACATGCTCAGAGGGAGGGAGGGAGGGAGAGAGGGGGTGTGGCTGGGGGGGGAGACAGAGAGAGAGAGAGAGAGAGAGAGTACCCAAAAGTTAGAGATAGTTAATAGCCAGTTGTTAATGACTTATAACAGGATTTGGATCCTGGATAGTTATCCAGAGTGCTACAGATCAATGGGAACACAGAGCATCCAAACTGGCCTAAGAATGAGGATGATGCATTTATCTGGGAAATCAGTGTAGGGAGGTTTAGAGGGGAGAGGTTCCAGGATCTGTGGCAGAGTGAAGCATGCAGAACTGGGCAGAGGGAGATGCAGGGCTCATAGGCAGTCATGGTGAAGACCTCAACTAACCTCAAGTGGAATTTTAGATCTTGATGGGTTCTTCAGAATTGCCCTAAACTGAGGCAAGACAGTCTTTATACTTTTATGTTGACTACTCATTAGATACAAACTATCTTGAAAGAGTAATCTTGGGTGATGTGCCTTTTTTTTCTTTTTGAGATGGAGTTTCTGCTCTAGTTGGCCTGACCGGAGTGCAATGGCACAATCTTGGCTCATTGCAACCTCTGCCTCCCAGGTTCAAATAATTCTCCTGCCTCAGCCTCCCAAGCAGCTGGGATTACAGGCATGTGCTACCACACTCGCTAATTTTTCTTTAACCACGAACAGTGCCTGGAAAGGGGACTTCAGCTGCAACCTGTCAGTCAACGTTTCCCGGTGGTGGAAGAAAAAGTGCTTTAGTATTGAAGAGGGCAATGAGTTGACACATTACATCTACCACAGTAGGTATCAGGGAAGACTTCCTGGAATAAGAGAGAATCTTAAAGATTTAAGATGTATTTATGTGACAAAGTTAAGTTTATGTGTTGAATAAGAATATAGCATAAACAAAGGCCTGGAGGATTTAGGGAAATTGCAAATAGTTACCAGAACATACCATTATGAGAAGGGTCTCCAGGTGGGTAAAGCTAGGGGGAGTGTATAACAGGAATAGGTGCATAATTAGGTAGCAGCCAGGTCATGAAGGGTCTTAGAAGTAGACTTTCACCTGCAGATATTTCAACACTGTTGAAATATATGAAGGAGGGAAAGACCAAGTTGTCTGTTAGAAAAATCATCTCAACAATAGCATGAAAGATATATTTGAGAGTATCAAGATTACAGAGGCAGGAAGGTTCTATAATTGTCTGGGTGTTAGATGATGAGGGTCTGGATAATACTACCTCTCCAGAAGAAGTATTTGATAATTTCACATTGATTACATGTTGTTTCACATGCTCTGTTTATCATGACACTTACATTATTATTTTTTCTTATTTATATTCTCTTGTGTTCCATAGATTTTATTTTCTATCTCAGAAAATTATTTGGAGTTTCCTTAGAGGATAAAGGAAAAATATGTGTAATACATGCACATTTATAACCTCATATATCCATTCACAATACTTACTTTTAATTAATATGTGTCAAGAGCATGAGAAAGGAGTTTTTAAAAAACAACAATGTTTTCTTATTTTTAAAATGTGTCTAATAATACCCGCCTCCGAAATGGGTTTATATGTTTGTAGTGTTAAAAATCATTTCATAGATTATGAAATCATATGCAAATCTTAGTGTTAACGCATGGAACAATTGTTCACAAAGAGACATGCCAATTTAGAAGGAAGAGACAGGAAAGGGGAAAAAGCACACGAGGCAGTGATGGACAATGCGAGTTCTAACCGGAGGCCACAGGAGCCATTACTGAGCCTAGAGAAGCAGTTCTGGGCATGCGTGATGATACAGCCCGGGAGAAAAGTTGCCAAGGCTTAGCTTCCCTTTTCAGGCTTCTGTTCCGTTGTTCTTTGAAACAGTGAATAACAACATCTTATAGTGTGTTCATTTTAACAAATCTTTCTCCGGAGTAAGCATTATGTTTTAATGAGTTCTAAGTTCCCATTTCATGCCAACGTGAATCGTATACTGAATTGCATGAGAAGATGACGACTGCATTATCTACTTTCTGTTAGGTCCCTACAGGAAAGAGGCCAGAGCCACTAACTTCATTTCAGCCGCATGACAGAACAGAAACTCATTGAATGAGGTAGGAGTCAAACATCCTTTTTTTAAGTCTTTCTCCCTTTTGGGGCAAAATTACATATATGAGGTTCATATACATCTATCTATCTGTCTATCTAGATATGTGTATACACATGAACTTCAGCTTTCCTTCCCATAAAACCAGAGGTTTGGAATTAAATTGTTGCATTTCTTCTGGCTTAATACTTTTGATTCCCAAGGTTCACAGCTCTCTCAAGAGAGAAAAATGGGAATATTAGACTTTAGGCCTCACTCTAGCAGGGAAGACTTATTTTTTGATCATAGATCCCTATTGTATGAGTGAGAATACAAATTCACACAGATGTCAAAGAAATGAGAAAGGCTCAAAAGGGCAGTGGGGCATTCTAAGAGAAGGTGAGTGCTCCTTCCTCATGCAGATGCCAGAATGGCATTCACACCATACTCTCCAAAGTCCACTGCAGATTCCAACAACCCTCCTAAACCTGTCCACCCTGTCCCCCAACCCCCTCTAAGCCTCACACATATGCACATGCATATGCATGTGTATACACACACACACACACAGCCACCTATGAAGAACTGAGAGACATATTGGAAAGGAACCAAAGCAAATTCTTCAGGAGCCTAGAAAAAGATTAGACTAATTATTTGCTAGTCCTATTGTCAAGCTATCTGACATTAGCCAAGTTTCATACAGCTTCAAGTTTCAGGTCAAAACATTTACATAAGAGTACCCCTGACGTTTAACAGTGGTTTTTCTTGTTATAAAGCTCTCAAAATATTGACCTCCTTGGAAACATTTCTTCATACACTCCATTGCATTTTATAAATGTCTCTTCTTTGGTTTCTTGAGCTGCCATTAAGTACATCCTTGCTTCCCCACCACCTCCTGTCATGAGACTATCAACTCTTTTAGTTTTAGATCTATTTCTCATTCTCTGTTATGGTGACATCATTATTATTTGACGAGAAAATGATTATTATGTCTCCAAGGATCCAATCCCATACGTAATCCATTAAAATGAAATGAGATGTGCCCATGAAAAGATGCAGAATTCAAACTTCTAAAAAAAAGTTTGTCTTGAAAAGGGAAATAAACAGCAGAAAGAGTTGAACTATGAGATAACCACACAGGTTGAAACAAAACACACACATGGGTTGGATTTCTATTGTTGCAATTACTTGAAGCAATGTGCCAACCCCTGAATACATACAATCATATTTTCAAGGCAAAGGTAGAGAAGTCACAATATTGAGAGTTAAAAATCATTGCAACTCTGATTTACAAAGTACGAAACTGAGGCACACACAATTAAGGACCTGCTAGGCATCAAGAATTGCATTAATGAATAGTGGTATAAAAGTAACTGAAGTATCCTCTGTGTTCTCAACGAATGTCAGCCAGTTTGCAGTGACCTAGTTAGTAACAAAGCTTGACTTTGACGTCTGTAAGACCAGTGCCCAGTAGAATTCCAGGAACACAGAACTAACACAATAAGTATTCATGAAATGAATCTACCACATCACGTTATTTCCTTAGCCATATTTTTGTGTGTGTGTGTTTTTTTCCTAGTAGATAAGCTTCTCATTGAAAAATGATAATTGGAAACATGTATCATTAAGTGTATAGTTTGTCTATTTTCACATCTGCAATGATGTGTTATGTATATTGATGCCATTATGCCAATTTATTTTTGCTTTTTACTTACCAAAAAAACCCCTCTAAATCATGCCTCATCATCTTTTATGTAAATAATTCAAAAACATAAAATTTACTCTTGTCATCTTCAAGATGATTTGAAAAATGCTAATTCAAGAAAGGTCATCAAAGAAAGCAGAACTAGAAAATCTGGCCAGGCACAGTGGCTCACGCCTGTAATCCCAGAACTTTGGGAGGTCAAGGCGAGTGGATCATGAGGTCAGGAGTTCAAGACCAGACTGGCCAATATGGTGAAGCCCCATCTCTACTAAAAATACAAAAATTAGCCAGGCCTGGTGGTGCATGCCTGTAGTCCCAGCTACTTGGGAGACTGAGGCAGGAGAATCACTTGAACCCGGGAGGCAGAGGTCGCAGTGAGCCGAGATCGTGCCACTGCACTCCAGCCTGGGTGACAGGGTGAGACTCCATCTCAAAAAAAAAGAGACAGAGAGAGAGAAAAGAAAAGAAAATCTTTTTTAGAATGAAGAAATTATTTAAGCCAATGAATTTGAGTATACAATTCTTATAGTTTTATATATATGAATTCACTGCAACTTCATAAAAACATAACAACAATATGCTTGACTTAATTAATCATCCTCTAAATTTTGAGCCAATATCAAACATAGTCAGCCTATGAAAACTGAAATTTAAAGCTTTGAAAAAGTCTTTACAGGCTTTTTTGTATCTTTTTGTAATAGCTTGAGACAAAAAAGCCCGATTTTCATTTTGAAGGATGATTTTCATTTGTTTTTTAACATTTTCCCACTACAGTTATTAAGTGGCTAGGTCAAAGGAAGTCAAGCACTACACTGTAAGATGACTTACCTATAGTTTTGCTTTTCATTTCCTACGTGGAATCTGTCATACTGTGCATAGGCCCAGTTCCCTTCCCAGTCCATTAACTCAACTCTTAGCATGGACTGCCTCTGATTGGTAATGGCAAAAATAAACTCATTCCCCAGCCAATATTCACCGGAGGGATTTCCAAAACCCTGGGAAAGAATATAGAGATGCAGTTGTTACTTTTCTCATGTTCAGCGTTTTACTCTTTTATAATTAATAATAGAAAATTATTTAAAAGTAAAAGTTTTTTTACATTTTATACTTTTTTCTCCAATGATTGACATTCATCAAAGCTTCTGTCTAATTTCTACTTTGTAAAATAAAACCTCTGTTATTCAAATATGTGTGGATGAGACATTTTGCGTAAAATAAATCTAGTTAATAGGTTTAACTAGAGAACAATTCTCAATTCAAGGTTTGCTTTTGAAAATGTTTCTAAATTACTAGTTAACAAAATATTTTCAATAGAGTTTAAATGTTTTTCAACGGACATTATGAGGGTGATATTAGACAAGTTATTTAACAATATTATTTTTACTATTATTATTCACAAATGCAATTATGTTCCTGCAATAACTTTATATCAAGGTTGGTGAAAAAGTAATTGCAGTTTTTGCCATTACTTTCAATGGTAAAAACCGCAATTACTTTTGAATCAAAGTAATAGATTACTAGAACCATGACTTTTGGAGCTTTAACTTTCTTATTTTTAAATATTAATAAGCAACCCTGTAAACCCATGACTGTAATCATTTACAAAACTGCAATGGCATTGGAATTCTGAGGCAGAACGCTGATTTGTAAGAGCTTCCGAGTGAACCTAGCTGACTGCTTGGCTTCTGAATGTCAAAATGACTATTGTTCTCTTTGGGGTAAGTCAAGATTGTCAAGTATTCAAAATACTTTCTTTGTGGAGAAAGAAAAAAAATGGTCCTAAAGAAAGCCAACTCTAAATGTTGGAGATGTTAGTGATAGGAAAATAAAGAACTTTCTGGCATTTTAGATTTTGGGTATTCACAATTGCCTCAGAAAATACGCACTGGCAGTACTTGAAATTCAATGTAATTCTTGATCTATATATTTGTTTCACTGGCCATATTGTGAGCTCCCTAGGATAGAAGCTGTGTTGTATTTGTGAATTCCCAAAAACCAGTGAAGAGCTGACATGCACTTAGCATTCCATTAGGATTCATTGAAATTCAAAAAAAAAAGGTAGAAAGAAAAGAAAAGAGGAAAGATGCAAGAAAGGAAGAGAGGAGAAAGGGAGGTAAGGAGGAAGAAAAACTAAATATTACAGCGTTTTGCAAAAACACATGGAAAAGTAACCATAAAGCACAATTCTTGTTGTAGACAATATAGTTGAGGCTTGGGGAAATGTTTCTTAAAGTGACCAACTGAATCACTTGTGCACTACCTCCTCTGCCAACTGAGTTACTTACCAAAGGCCAAAGGTGTTTGGTACCAAGCCTATTTATGCCAGTTCAGTTATTGCAATATTTATAAAATGTTACATAAATAAATTAAATATTAGTGAAAAAAGTTTAACTTTTTATAAATATCTGGATTTGCTCAATGGGAGCAAATTACTGAAAAGTTTTTTGAATTAGGTATTGTTGAAACTCTAAAAGACTGGGAAAAATAAAAAAAATTTAAAGAATTTTTAACATATTGCTTTGCATATGTCTTTATGTACTGTTCTATTTTTTAAAAAATTGAAACTAGAGATCGGATGCATTCCACTATGGGAAAGTTTTAGGAAACAACGGATGACACAGAATTACGGGCTTTGGCCCTGTAGTTTTTTGTTTGTTTTGTTTTGTTTTGTTTTGTTAATTAATGGGTAAATGAATGTATATTGTTATATTTAAAGTCAAAATTAACATATATGTACACTTTTAAAGTTATTCCCCAATTCAACTAAGTTTATTGATTAGCTAAATATGCTTGGTCCAGACTGCATTGAGTATTTATTCTTCTGAAGACCATCTACCCATAGCTCAGAGCAAAGATACAAGACCCATTGAAGTTACTCCATTAGCTCTTTGCTTCTCTGTTCCTAAGATGCTCAAGTCACACTTCGTGAAAGTTTCATGGTAGTAGGAAATATTAGAGCAATTTCTGGTGTGCTAAGAATTTTACACATTTCTTCTGGCAGCTGATGCTACCTACTAAGAGAAGATCAAAGCTTGCCTTCTCCAAAGCATAAACAAAACAGAAAGTTACAGGAGGCTGAAAGTTACAGAATTAGTACTTTCTCAATTGCAGCAGCCCCTGGGAAGAAAGAGACCACTGGGATTTTCCTTGCATTTTTTTGCAGCTTAGACATGTCAAAACTCTCCCTCTAGCCAGTTGATGATTCCCTTTTCTGTGCAGTCATTGAAAAGGGATTCAACAATTATACTCAATGTGAATAAAGAGGCTGGGAATGATGAAGTGTTAAGTTTTGGGTCACATATTTCCCTGCTGTTGAAAGCATTGTGTGGATAAAACTCTCCAGCTTCCCCAGGGAAACATGCAGTGATTTTGGGTGAGCTGTAGAAATGAACAAGCAATAGCGACATTCTTACAGGAGCCTCCATCCCTGTCTCCACATGCAGGCCTGTACTTCCCTCTAAATGGAAATAAATATCCCTTCCAAAAGAGTTTGCATTTTTATCTTTCAGGAAGAAATGACTAAAAAGAAAACAGTATAATTTGCATTTAGAAACTAACATTTATTTTAATCCCCTTCCCAAAAAACTGTCCAAGCATACTCTGAGAGCAAAATATTTGGGTATAATGAATCAAAATGGCTGCAGAATAGGGAGGAAACCTTCTAATAGCCAAGTGCAGTGATCCAGAAACAACTGTTTCATCACTAAGATGAAAAATACGTGAAAGAAGGGGAATTGGGTTCCCACATTAGTAAACTGTCTTTTGGATAGTTTATCAGGGATGACCACAGATCTGATACATGGCACAAAGGCTTGGCTTGGATGGAATAATCTCTACCCCTTATCTCCAGCTCCAGATTAAGGCCTTGATCTGCCACATATTTGCTGTAGAACTATCAACTTTGTTTCTGAGCCTCAGTTTCTCTGTCTGCAAAACAGGGATTACAATGTTATATGTAAAATTTCAATGCCACAAAAGAAATAGCACTTGAATATAAATTTTCTCAGCAAGGCAATTTACTTCTATAAAAGCTTGCATCTCATAGATAGAGCAATGGTGAGTGCCACCTGAACAGGGGAGGGGAAGAGGTTCTTATCCCTGATGCATCCCCTACTGCTGTGTTGTTCCTCTATTGGCTAGGATTAGACCACACAGTCTAAGCCAATTCTGACTGGCTATTTTAAAGACAGAAAGTGTATGAGCCAGAATGGTGGGGTGAATGGTTTGGTGGGAAAAATGGTTATGGAACAGGCAACTAAAGGTGATTCAGGTCAGGGCAAGTGACCAGGGGTGACTCAATTCAAAGCAGGTGACCAGGATGAATCAGGACAGAGCAGGTGACTGGGATGAGTCAGGATGGAGCAGGGGAACAGATGTAAACTACTGATTAGAATTGGTGGAAAAGGTTGTTTACTGAAACTACAAGGAAGTTGAACTTTAAAATGGAGGACAAAGAACTGAATATACTGACATACTCATTCTCTGAAGAGAAATTTAGAACTAACTGTATCCAACACAGACATCATTTTCATATACAAGGTTTTCAGAAAAAAAAATTAAATATACTTGAAGCACTTTACTAAGCACGGATACACAGAAAGAACTTAAAAATCTAGCTGTTGTTATAGTTAAAATATATGTCACAATACATAGTAATTTTCTGGTTAGTTGCTTCTCTTCCATGAGACTGTGAGCCATATGTGGGGAAGCAAGGTCCTTTCTACTTTGTATGAGAAAAGGAAAAAGAACAATCTAGGTCTTGTCTTGGCCTAAAAATTAATAAAGGGATACTGAAATAATTATTTAAAAGGCTCTCAGAGGACTAAGGTATTATAATAAATTGAGAGTTGGTTTATACAAATGAATATTATCATTTTAATCCAAAAAGTTAATTGTTAAATATGACATTACAACCAACTGATTGCAATTGGGACTAAACTGTAGTACTAATGAAAGCACAGACTACTTTCTTATTCTTACATCTGCTTCCAAGTACTAAAGCATGTTTCTTTCATACTCAGTGCTCCCTTAGTGCTATTTCTTTCAATCCCTCTCTTTCCTTATCTCAAGAGTTTTAGGAGGTACAAGAGGTAATTTTCATGCTTTTACACCATGCTAATAAGTTAATAGTTGTGACAATTGCTTTCAACCAGGAATGCATATCAGAAACAACTCGGGTCTTTTAAAAAATATGGATGATTAGGTCCCCCATGAAGACTCTGATTCAGTATGTCTGGTGCCGGCTCAGAGAGCTATACATTTAAAAGTTTGCACATGTAAGTCTGCTATGAACCAAAGGTAGAGATCCACATAAATATGATGTGGAATAGATGTTCCAAGTACAAACTTAAAAGAATAATCAAATCAAATCATGTGAGTGGCACACAGGGAAAATGCAGGAGTAAAATCCTGTCTTCATACTGAGGTCCATACGGGGAGGCAAGTTTTGATTAAGTGTGTGTGACTGTCCTTCAAAAATGCATATACATACCTAAAAGACAGAGTCAGCCAATGCATATGCTCTGAAATAGGTTTACACATTATGGCACATAACAGTTTGCCACATGTCCTTATTTTACCCCAAATAGCCTGTAACTTCAATGAAAATAAAAATGAAAGTATATACAAAATTTGTGCTGACATTGAAAAAGCAACAATGAATGAATAAACAATTACAATGCAATTTCTTTTTTTTATGCATAAAATCTAAGGAAACTATGTCATGTACTTTTGTAAAAACAATGTTTAATGATGTCGATCACAATCAACTGAAAGATTTTGGTTCACTGACTCACCTACATTGTTAATTGATTTTATTCCTTCTCTAGTTTTCTAATAAGAGGATAAAAAAGACACTGAAATTTAATCTGAACTAATGCTGACTTAAAATCAGCTTTAAAAGACACATCTTACTCAAAAAATACATGGAAAGGAAAGACTAACCTTTATTAGTTGTTACCAAAACCTGCAGAAATGTTCAATTTTGATTTGTGATTTTCCAAGTTAATAAAATAATTGTCTTTGGTACTTTATTTGTTTTGTCTGATAATGCTCACAGGAAGTGCTGACTTTTTATAGATGAAGCAAAATTGAAACCAGACACAGTCCATGTATTCCATGGGTTTCATCTTTTTTCATACAAATTATTTTGTGTTAAAAAAATAAGACATAGCTGTGGCTTTCCAAAGGCACTTTCGTATGCAGTTAAATCGTACATCTCTTCTAACTGCTGAGACACTCAACCCAAGAAAGACTGAAACAATGTTTTATTTCAAAATTTTTAATTTCTTATGCATTTTTCTCTTTTAATGTGAAGATGTCAAAATATTATTGAAAATGTGCCCTCAACTTCTTTCCAGAAACAAAGAACTCCCAGAAGTTATGGTGCTCAGACTAAAATTTTTGAATGGATAGGAAGCTCTGTTTATGGGGGTAATTGTTCTCAAAATAAAGCAAGTTTGTCTCCAGGCCATTAGTCATTGCCTACTACAGTATTAAGTTAGACCATTTAGGGTACTATTTGGAACTCCTAGCTTCATTGAGCTTTATATGCAAAAGTACTGCTGATAAGTGTTATTGCTGGAGGCCACTAAATGGTATCCTTACGACTTGAAGGAGTTAATGTCTTCCCTAAGTGCCTCATTAAAAAGCCCACTCCAGACTTTTCCTTTCAGGCAAACATCTTTGCAAATCCATAAACCAGATTTGCTGAATCTCCTCTTGAGAAAGATTAAGTGAAAGCTAGGCTTAGGTAAGAGACTTGCACAAGGCTTAAAGCCAATGTCAAGAATCCAAAAATTGGTAAACCTTTCATATTGACAGAGGTTTAAACATAATAATAATATGTAATATATATTTGTAATTACAAGTGTTGATAACTTTAACACATTGTTATGGAAATCTTATGAAGCAAGAGGAAACCCATACATATCAATCAGAATGAAGGGAAAGAGAGAGGAAAGGCAGAAAGGAAAGAGAAAGAAAACTTTATTTCTGCATTCATTGCCCAAGGAAGAAATGTAGCATCCTAATGTATATACCAATCCTAATAGTAGATTGGTAAAGATTGGAGAAGAGTTGGGGCATGCCAAGTTCTTGTTCTCCCAAAGGATGTACACCCTTAGCTGAAGGAATGAGCAGGCAATTCTTTGGATGCAGGAAATAGAAGTAGGTGTGACTAATAAGAACTGGCATAAGGAGTCTATATACATCCCTGATAGAGTCATGTTATTTTGTCTTTAGGTGAAAGAAAAACTCTAGAGAAAGAACTAAAACACTTTCTACCATGTGTTTTAACCATGTAGTAACATATGATAAATATTTTCAATTAAAAAAAATCTGCAGCCTCATTTTTAGCCAGAGTGTTTTAAAATTTTAGAGCTTATCTCATTTTTTGATCATGTGAAATTGATACTCATCTGATAAATGTTTCAAGTTTAAATAAAGCATGATAGTCTTTCTTATTTTAAAAGGGGGAGGGGTAAACATAAAATATGATGATTAAAGAATCTCAGTCTTGTTCCAATAATAAAAAAATAATTGCTTGGAAATGGATATATTTGGTAAATACTTACAAGACATGAATTGATTCCATACTTAACAAGTCAGTATCTCTTACTTAACATGCCTAGCTTGCCAAGGTAGCAGATGTTTACAGTTAAGAATTCACCATTTTGGACGGGCACAGTGGCTCACGCCTGTAATCCCAGCACTTTGGGAGGCCGAGGCGGGTGGATCACGAGGTCAGGAGTTCGAGACAAGCCTGACCAACATGGTGAAACCCAGTCTCTACTAAAAATACAAAAATTAGCTGGGCATGGTGGCACATGCCTGTAATACCAGCTACTCAGGAGGCTGAGGTAGGAGAATTGCCTGAGCCTGGAGGCGGAGGTTGCAGTGAGCCGAGATCCTGCCACTGCACTCCAGCCTGGGCAAAAGAGTGAGACTTTGTCTCAAAATAAATAAATAAATAAATAAACCAAAAGAGTTTCAAGTTTGAATAAAGCATGATAGTCTTTCTTATTTTAAAAGGGGGGAGGGGTAAACTCCATAAAACACGATGATTAAAGAATCTCAGCCTTGTTCCAATAATAAAAAAATAATTGCTTAGAAATGGATATATTTGGTAAATACTTACAAGACATGAATTGATTCCATACTTAACACGTCAGTATCTCTTACTTAACATGCGTAGCTTGCCAAGGCAGCAGATGTTTACAGTTAAGAATTCACCATTTTGGAAAGTCACCATTTTGGAAAGTCACCATGATGACAACTTTATATTTATTTTTCTGTTATCATTAATTTTAATAATAATGCATTTCACATTAGCCTGAGTCTATAGTCTAATTTTCAGATGACTTCTTCACCTCACATTTTAGTGGTGGAAATAATAATGAGTTAAGATAGTTTGCAAAATAGCATTTTTGGCATAGTTAAGTGAAATTTTTGCTGTTTTTGATGTTTTCATCTTGGATAATAAAAATAACTACTGTTCACTGAAAATTCAGTGTGCCTAAGTGCTTTACTTACATTATTTCTAATCTTCAAACATCCCTGTAAGGCAGGTGAGATAGTATCATTGTCCTATTTTAATGAATGAGAAAGCTAAGGTGAGGGTTAAGTGATTTGCTAAAAATCACTCCTCTTGTAGATGGCAGAGTGAAGACTAAAACTGTTAATATGAACATAATTCAAAGTCTTTTTTTTTCAAATGTAGATAATCTTTTATCCCTCATATAGTTTTAAAATCACCTAGGCAGAAGAGGCCTTCAAATCTAACCTAACATCCCAATTCTACATGCTAATCCCGAAAGATGATGATCTACCTTCAATTTCCACTGAAGATGCGGAGGGCGTACCACTTAATAGGCAGTCCATTTGGTGTTGTGATTAACCATTGGAGAGTTTTCTTCATACTTTGTTAAATTTTGCCTTGGTGGAATCCTCCTCCATTCATTATTGCACTCCCCTCTCAGGCAGTGTTCAAATGCACATTCTAATTCAGTAAATCTGGGCCAGAGCTAGAGATTCGTGTTTCCAGTAAGTTCCCAGAGGATGCAAATACTGCTGGTCCCTGGACCACATTTTAAGAGGTGGACTCAAGTAACCTATCTCTGTCTAGTTAACTGAAATAGCTATCAGGTTTATGCCTAATTGTTTTCTTCTCCAGGTGTTCACCTGTTCCAGATGTAATTTCCAAATTCCTCCCATCCTGTTTGTAACTCCTAGGATAACTTCACTTGTTTGAAAACCCCTAGAATTGAAACTATATTTTTGATGTAACTAGATCATGGCAGATATCAGTGAGTTCTGCATTTTTTTTGACCCCCCCACCAAACTACTAGTAATGTAAACTGAGTACATTAATCTTTGTTAATACAAAATGAGCTTAGAGCCAAATAAATCTCTCTTTCAAATACTAGGTCCTTAAGGCAATTTGTCACCCTTACTCTGTTTTCTCACAGTTGATTTAGGTATTTTTTATCTAGGTAAAATATTTTATAATTATCTCTGTGGAATTATATCTTGCTGGCTTCAGCCTACCTTTCCATCTTGAGTTTATGGTATAACAAAGACATCAGGAATCCAACTTTGTGTAAATCCAAACTTTTTAAATGTGCTTTCAGACTGTTCAACTGAGCATCTGATAAAAATGTAGATGCAGTGACACCCCTAGAAACCTCCTTTCATTCATTAAAGCCCACTGTTTACTGCCATTGGACCAACTATGAGCCTATTAATGGGTGAACTCTGTTGCAAATCAACCACAGTTTTTACAATTGTCTACACGAATATCAAGACAAAACCTAGGCTTGTATAGCATTTCTGCCACCTTTCCCTCTACTTGGTGAGAGAAAATTTATCAAAAAGTCAAGCTAGGAATTATCTCGAAATTTTAGATGCAAAAGAATGAGAATCCATAAATATAGATTCTCCTGCATTACTACACCTTTACATTCTGTCAGCAGATTTTAATAGCTAATTTTGTAGGCACTGACTATGTGATTACTGGATTTTGGATTATTTCAATCCTTGCTCATCTCTGTTTCCTTTTAAAACTGGCATCGTGTTAGGTAATAGGGCTGTATTAAAAATTAGATAAGAAATTACATATAGGGCTGACATATTTGGCATTAAAAAAGAGCTGTGATGATGATGATAATGATGATGATGGTATCTGTCTGCTGTCATTTTGCAGACCCCAGTGAATGAGCCGTGGCTCATAGTTCATACCTTGGTGTACTCCTCATGCCTTAAATCTGGTCTTCCCTTGTGACCAGCCATAACCAACAGAATGCAATGGAAGTAACACTGTTTCATTTCTGGATCTAATAAAACTAAAAAAGGCTGAAAGCTTCTGCTTTGTCTTTGGAGGATGACAAGTGCTACATAAGAAGTCTGACAACCCTGGGTCACTTTACTGAAAGAAGCTTAGACTAGCGACATGGAAAGGTCACATGGAGGAGCTTCCAGTCTACAGCCAGCAACAATTAGCCAGCCATGGGGGCGAGGCCATAGCTATTACCCATCCTGTTCCATAACGTGCAACCCTGCCCAACTCCCTTGGTCAGGCTCACATGTCCATCCAAGGTCTGAGTGCTAGCTTCTCCCACTCTCATTCAACTAGGAACAAATCCAGACAATACATAACAGTTCACCAAATAATTTCACTGATACGTTTTTCTTTCTGATGCACACATGGAAATCATTTACTGGAAATGATTTATGAGTGCTTTGTGTCTAATGAAAGTAATGTCACTAATGTATCATTTTATTTCAAAAATAACTCAAAACCACCTAAAATTACAAAGATTCATCATATAGTATGGAGAGGATAACTTCAAGATAAAACACCAAAAAGCACCATAAATTCTTCCATCTTACCATTTTATAGTCTCTCCAGCCTCTTTGGAAATCTATACTTCCATCTTCACGATGTTGTATTACAGTCCAGCCTCCCCCATTGACATCCATATTGCAAAATACCTGACAAATGGAAACCAAAGTCAAGTAAAAATTACCTCTACCTTAAAAAACATATGTCCTACATGTTTCAAAATAGAAATAAGGTAAGCAGGTCTATAGATTTTTAAAAAACTTAAATTACTATATTGAACAATGTTAACTTAGATACCTTATTGGTTATTTCTTCCTATGATTCATATTTGAGTTTTTTTCTGATTAAATTCCATCAATGATGAATAAATTACTTGCACAAATTTTTATTAGTCAACTAAAAATTAATAGTCTTTGTCTTAGACTATAAGAAATTTTTTAAAATCTTTGTTTTAAATGGAAATAAGCATTTGCATATGTTCGAAGTTTTGGAAATACTACTAAATTTCCCAAGTTGTAGACCATTTGATTGCCAAAACACAAGACTCAGAATTTCAAAATTTTAAATTGATTGAAATGGGAATATAATAAGAAGAAAAAAAAATTGTTAAAATATCATGTTTTAACTATTACATATATTCATTGCATATCAATACTTATATATGTACATGTTATAGTAGTTATCCTTGATTATTTAGTATTACATTAGGGACAATATTTGTAGCATAGCATATGGAGAATATATTATTTGCTTGTATTTTAGTCATGAACAATAACAGGGGAACATGACATACTGTATCTCTTCTGACTGTGACAAGCATTTCTTTCCCTTGTGGAAAATTTATACAAATCTTACAAAGACTTATGCTCATCTTAATTATTCAAAATACAATGGTATTTATTTAGAAATTGACTCATTTCCCCCGGAGTCTTCCCAAGAAGACAGACATATCTGTAATGGAATTATCTTCAGAGAGCAATCACTGTAATTGATGTAGCATGAATGTGGCAGCTTGATTATTCAACAGGGACTATGGGGAGCACTATTCCCTCAACAACTGAATCCTAAAGCATGTTGAAGGCTGACTGAAGGTGGGCTATGATGCAGCAGCAGCAAGCAAGCAATGTGGACACAGAGCTAAGCTTTGATTAGAGGAAAAACCTGAAGTGTTTCCCCTGAGGCATTGCATTTCGAACACAAGTAACAAAAAGGGTATAAAAACAGTGGCAAGAAATGTCACTCAAAGGACAAATTGTCCATATACTTCCTCAGAGTGAAAGGGTATAAGATATACATGCCTATTTGTGAGCATATGATATAGAACAACTGTCCTCCCAAGGGCTCTCCCCCTACTTTGACAACAGCCAGATTCCTGGGGCTAATAAGGACATACTAAGACATATGTATATCTTCATTAGCCCTAGGAATTGACTCACCTCTAAGACTGTGCATTTTAAAATGTGATTCCTTTCCCAGTGCTCCCCACTGCCACTAATTCTTTAACCCTTCTGCACCTGCTCTTGGTCCTCCACATAACCTCTAGCTAGGCTTTCATCTTCCTTAATTAATTCATTTATTCACTTTTTTTTTTTTACTTAATGAGCATTCTTCGGAATCAGTTTTCAATTACAATTTGGGGTATTATTATACATAAAATATGGGTCAGGTACTCAAAACATGTCAAAGTTTCAATAGTGACTGATTTCACAGGATTAAGGAGACTGAATTCATAATTTTCAGCTCTAATACCTGAAGAATCACAGAGACAATAATATAAATGAGAAATTCAAGAAAGAGAACATGAGCAAAGAAAATGATCATACTTTTTGACACCCTAGCCTTTGAGGTAGCAAAGATATCCAAAGAAAAAAGTTTATTTGGCAGTTCGAGATGATCTAGACCAAGGATAAAAATATGGATAAGAGCATAAGGAAGTAAGAAAGGAATTGCTATTAAGAATGACATGCTTGTTAAGGACCATATAATATCAATACCTTACATGCATTTTCTAACTTATTCTCACCATACCCCTATGTAGGAAATAGGTATGATTATCATCTCCATTTTACAGATTGAAAAATACTGAGGTTTAGAGTAGTTCAGTAGCTTATCAGTGATTATACCAACGACAAACTCTGGATCTGGGATTTAAAGTTGATTTGAACTGGATTCATAATTGAACTCTATGTATACCTAATTCAAAATTATTGGGAATGATCTGCTTGAAAGCATTTGTTGATAGCATGAAAACAAATGCAATTACTTAAACAAGTAAAGAAAAAGGCAGAAACAGATGTGTGTGGATGGGAGTGAGAAGGGCCAAAGAATGGGCTTTGGTGAACGCCTGAGAAAGATGGAATACATCAGGAACCTTTAGGTGGGCAGGAATTTCTTTTGATTTACTGCTGTCCCCAGTACCTTGAGGTGTGCCTAGCCTATAGCAGGTACTAAATGAATATTTGTTAAATAAATAGAGATGCAATAGGAGAGATAAAATAAGAAAATGTGATTAATGGAATGCAAAGAAAGGGATGGATTTAGAGTTGGGGAGGTGATAATTAAATGTTTCAGAGAAGTGAAGATAAAAAAAAAACTGATTAAGAAAATATAGGCTTCAATTTGAATGAAGGAGCCTTTAGTGACCTTGGTGAGGGAGAATGCAGGATTGGGAATAAAATCAGATGACATAGTTTCAAGAGGGCATAGGTGGTGATTCAAGAGAAGTGGTCAAAGGGGAGCTTTACTTGTAAAATTTAAATCAAAAAAAAAAAAGGAAAGTGAAAATATCAAGGAAATATTTTGCTAGAAGCAGCTAAGTTTCTCAATTGAATGTTATCATGACCTGACTTGTTAATCCAGAATGAATGTTTTTATCCATTTTTGTTATTTTATAATGGACACTGATTGCCTAAAGTTTGCCAAGTTGTGTTTGCAAAGCTGTAAAGTCCACTTATGTACCTGGGGAAAAGAATCACTACATTTATAAATGTAGAGTGCATAGAGGAAACTATACTATACAGTTTTTAAATTAATGTTACCTACATTATTAAAACTCTATGTACTTAGCCTTTAAATCACCCATAATTTTTTGAAAAAGACAACTTTCCTTCTAATCAGAGGTATCCAGTGACCTGTAAATGTTCAGATGTGCTGAGACTGCTTCTTAAAAAAAGACCTAGAGAAAAAACCATTGGGAAATAAATTACCCAGGCAGATTACAAAGCTGGAAGCTGAGGGGCAGAAAGGCTAAGGGGTTAGACATATGCTTCCCAATTCTTATGAAGACTTAATAACATCAATGGTAACAGCTGCTCTTTGTGCTACCTAGGCACAATGGAGCTGAATGACACCTTGGTTAATAGCACAGACTTGAACACTTCATTGCCTGGATTTAAAACCCACCTCTGCTCTCTCTATCTACCACTTAGATATTTTCTAAGAATTTGATGAGTTAATGCATATAGAATTTTTAGAATAGTGTTTGGCATTTAATAGGCATTGTCACTACTCCTGTCTCTTACATGTATTACTGATGACATGATACACGTTTATGTTACGCATTATACACTGTCTGTATATGATGTAATATTTAATATGTATATAATATTTAAATTTAATATACTATAGTTATATAACATTGCATACAGATTTTATAATTTAATATAAATAATCTAAAATATACAAAACCAAAACATGTAGAAGTTTAATAAATTGTCCTTATAATTATGATTTCTAGGCTCTAGTTATTACAATAATATCGGCATCACTAATCATTGAGAATACTACCTTTCTATATGTATTACATATATACATGTATACACACACACACACATACGTATATGTATATTTAAGAAGTTGGACCTACTCTAGCAAAGACAAAACACCTATTATTTTTAGTCAGAAAAAAAAAAGCCTATGCTTAAAGAGGGAGGGAAAAAAAAAAAAAAATAGATGGTAGGTTTTAGAAAGATTTGAAAGGCTTGAAAGTTCATTTGCCAATATTGTGTGGTCTGTGTTATCTGGCAGTGTCCTTCCTGTGGACAAGGCCCTGCTAAATTAACTATGCCTATTGCATTTATCAGTCATATGACTTGGGCTTAACTCTATCCAAGAAAAGATTGAACTGGCTCCAATCCCAGGCAAGGTCAAAGCTTTCAAGCATTAAACACCTTTAACATAATACAGAGGCTTAAACCCAAACAAAAAGGGAAATTTGATTCACATAGTTTTTATGCTTTTATGTTGCATAGAAGTTGGAATGATTAGACTTGTGAGTGTTGATTATTTTTCCATAACCATAAATGAAAAGGGCTTAACCCATTTGTTATAATACTTTTCCAAGAATTAGGGGAATTATGAATTCAGAGTCAAATTTTTAATATTTTACAATAAGTACAGTAATGATTAAATGGTTTGTTTTTTGGACGAAACTAGGCACCTGGTTTTGGAAACATAAAATGAAAGAAAAAGTCCTGTTTCTACTACTACTATACATTGAAGGGAATTCAGAAAGGAAAATAAACACAAGCCGTTAATAATATAAAAGCAGAAAGTAAATATGGAAACCACCTAATCTAATTTTCTATCTGCTTGAATAATTAGTTTTAGGAAGCCATCTTTGGCTTCCACATTTGAAAAGATAACATTTCTCTAATTTTCACAGACTTTTTTTTTTTTTTTTTTTTTTTTGGCATGGAACAACATCGGTTGGAACAATTAATGGTATTACAATCCTGTTATACTTGCAACTCTCAAGTATAAGATGAATAGTTTCTGTTAATAATTTTGTCCCTTTTCTTTAATAAACCTATTTTATTTTTGGTGCATACCATGCATGGTTGACTCTTGTCTTTGTGTAGGTTGCCTTGAGTTTCTTACCCTTGCCAAAACTTCTGAAAACATAATGAGCAATGTTTTGACTAAGCATATCCAGGGGTAACACCAAACTTCCTATCTACAATGCACAGTCTGCATGGAAGGGTGAAAGCCCTAAAGATGAATTTGGTAGCACTTTCTATAGGATTAAGACAATGCTGACAGTTTATTTCAAGATGGAAGAAACTGAGATTACAGGATGGTGAGAATGAGGTGAGTTATAATGAGAACATGAATCAACTTACCTAATTTTCTAAAAATAAGCCTTTGCCTGTGTAGCTCTCATGTCACACGTGTTTACCACTCATGGGGCAGCAGGTTCATTTTCAAAATTATGAATGATACAATTTCCATTACCATTAATATATATAATGATCCTGCTTAACCCTCTGATTAAAAAGATGTATTCTAAAATTAGATTCCTTTTTTCAAAGTCACTGTTAAATATTTGCTAATAATTTGTTTTGGGCAGGTTATTTTTCCAAAATAGGAATAATGGGAATAATAGGAGTATCTATCTCATAGGGTTGTTGAAAAGCATAAATGAAGGACTGTATATATACATATAT